TTTTATTAATGCACGATCTAGGTAAAAAGTTTTCGAAACAAGTTCTTTGAATTAAATAAAAAGTTCGAGTACCTCGAGTTATGCACGCATTTTATTTCCTCTGATTTAGTTACTGCTGACATTAAATTAAGAACATAAATAAACTTAAATATGCTAAGTAATATATTCTATTGGACAGTGCTATATTGATTTTAAATACAGTTTATATTGACTGTGGTTGTTTTTTCTATGATGGCAATATAATTAAGTATTCTCGATTATTATTCAGAAATACGTGTCAGCAATGATCAGTTAGTGTTGGCATATACTTAAACGATGAAACAACTGGAGTGTGCTTAATAATGTTCAGTACGTCAAACACTTCTGTTTCTTGGTTTTTGTTATGTTAACCGAGTGATAAAAATAACTGAATTCTGTATTGTGTTAAATGCAAATTTAATAGGGTTTTGAACGCTTGCGTGTGTATAATTATATAAAGTATAAAAGAATTCGTTATAAACATTTTTAATGCTCTCTGTTGCCCGTTTTATCTTATCTTTAACAACAGGTTACTAAGCGTGGTGTCGCATACTAAAATTTGGACAGAACGATTTTGCCGTAAAAAAGTTTTCTCAGCTCTAACAGATATTTGTTTTGGGTGAAGTAATAGAAATGTTGATGTAAGTCATTGCGCTTTAAAAATAAATAATACACTTCATACTACTAATGAAAGAGTTTGATGGTATTATGTCACTAAATTTGTTCTATTAACTTCTTCGAGTCTGTCTCCGATTGTATGTAGTAAGATGTTGTTAGTTATCGCTTTAATATCTAAATTACGTTGTGTCACATGTCACTCAGCGTACAACTCGTAAGCGCCGTAGTATTGATAACACAGCGATAGTTATTATAGAAAGCGTACTTTCATATTGGTCGCGCAATACTATTAACTTTAGCTATAGTGTTTTTCTACCGTATGTCAGCTATCAATCAAAAGCGTAAGCGCTACCAGTCGCCGAGCTAAGTTCAATATAAGATTGATCCTAAATGAATACTTCAAAACTGACATGTAGTGTTGATGAGTTTGGGATAATGGCATAGAGTTACAAATGAAAATCTCAACTTATTGTAACTGCACCACTTTACTGTTTGTGTACGGTACGAGTTGAAAAAATACATTTCAAATGGACATGTTTAAGGATGAGAGAAAACCGGATATCTATATAGCTATGAACAATTTTGGCGTTGAAGGAAATATGAAAAGTGGTCAGGTACTGAAGTTAATGTAAATTTTGAATCTGATTTTGTATGGGAATGATTTTTTTTTAGTTGTTTTCCTTTTTCAACTTTAACAATATTTGGACTCGTTATTATCATCAAAAATAACGCAAAGGAGATTTTCAATTTACTGTAGACATAAAAATTCAATTTCTCTTTAGTATTGGAATAATATTGATAAAGACACGCAATATCGTTGCACAAAATCGCATTTTGGTATAAGTACGGTAAGTCATTATTATTTAAAGTCGAGGACCCTCTTCAATTTTAGAATGCGTGTGCATGATGATATTAGTATATCGTTTTGATAATATTCACAAATTATTGGTAAAAAAATAAAAATAAAAATAATACACCGATAAAGTTTTTTCGAAGAGAAATATTTATTTACTGTTTTTTAAATGGAAACTATAATCGGTAAATTTTACATTTACAATGAATGTGTGTGTAATGCGAATTATCACTCGAATCGGTAAATTTTCAGTATATTCTGATACGTCTATGACCAACAAACTAAATTAACTTTTTTTTTGTACTCTGTGCACGTCTGTGGATAACTCTCTCTAGACCTGTACCGCAGACGTTTTTTAACGATTTCCTCGTGTTTATGTATTTATAGTTAAACAAAAACTATGCCATAAGTTAGTTTGACACGCTACGACTTAGCTAAATTGCTAACTCTTGTCTTGTTATTCCAGTCATGAGTGTGAGTTTAACTTAAACGGTTTTTATACTACACACTTTTGTAGAGGTTTTTGCTACTAGTCGTGTCAACAAAATGTAGCCAACAAATGAACTATCCGAAGTATCTATTACCAGTATACATACAACTAAATTAATTCAGCGTTCATTTGCTCGCTATATTAATTAACAACATTCGGTATATTATTTTTCCAAAATAATTCTATTTAAAGTAAAATTTCGTTTTTTTTTTTTTTAAATAAAGTGAAACTCATTTTAGCTTTATCGGTATTCCTTTGATGTAGTTTATGGGGGGGAATTCATTGTGATTCTGTAATCACCGTATGTTTGAAGGGATGACGTTAACTGCGAAAAATTCCTTCGACGTCACTATTATGCCTTTGCTTTTGTTATGCAGTGTTTTTCTTATCTTTTCGAGTGTAATGGTTTGCGATAAATTTTCAAACGGCCGGTGTGCAGCCTTACTTAACTCTCGCAGCTTTTTGAAGTCTATTGACAATAGCCTCTATTTTCCTGTATTCTTGTCTCTCCGAAGCCAGACCGGATGAAAGTGAATGGTAACTACATGCGAGGTCTACCGACATGAACGTTTCCCCCTTTTTCGTTCAATTTTTTTTTTTGTAGTCGATTTTCTTCGAACCTCATAATAAAGATGTTATTAGAGTGATGTCGCATGTGTTACGCGTTACAAAACCTTTTGTTTTAAACTAGATAGACATGGCGTCAGTAATAGGTTGAATTCGATCTACCAGCTTTTTAAAAAAAAAATCATAGAAATTTGTTGCTTCCTCGTGTTAATACGTTTTAAGTATTCTTGAGTGTTCCAAGTCGGTACTTTTTCGAAATAATTGATGAAAGAAGTAAAAGTTCATGGTGTTATGAGTGCCTTTCATAAGAAACACTGTTATACACACTTTGTTTGATGGCACTTTATTTGGCAGCAATCCCTTTTGGTGTGATTATTTGTTCACGACTTTGTCTGACCTATTCAGAGAATCCAATTATTGTCCGCTGCATTGTGTTCTTCGGCGCATTGTTGTTTTCAATTCTTTTTAACGGAAAATGTCTCATGACACACGAAAATGAACGTATGGATGTAACCATTAATTCTCACGCCGAAAATCCTTCTATCCCCGTGGTCATTAAGTCACAATAACCTGTATTTATGAACATAAAATCTGTATGTATTACAGGTTGCGTTTATACCATTACTTTAAAAATAACAATAAATGGCTTCAATAAGCTCACTATTTTACTACTCACTATATCTTATGTTTTTTTTTTATGTTCTTATTATTTTTAAATATTAACAATAACCACGTGCTATACAAGTTAAAGATTCAATGGGTTAACGCGCCAATAAATGACTTTGAATGTCGTTTAGATTGTAAATGTTTGTTTTATTAAAAAAATATATATTACTCTATCTATTTCTAAGATAAAGGTTTGTCAGAGATTACTTAATATATTTCTTTTTGTATCTTTAATAATAATAATTTATATCGCATACGTAGGTATTTTTAATATTTCTTCCTGAAAAAATACACAGCATAAAAAATAATTCGGTGATATTTTTTAGTAATAGTATTATATTCTTACTAACGTATGGGTTACCAAAAAACAATATAAATGAATTATATAGCTAAGATCCGAAAGTCTGCAGAGTAATTTTCGTAAATGGTTTTGATGAGTGTTATATGTTAGATGACTAATGTATATGAATAAGTCATGACCTTGGGGTCTACACTTATGTGGTAGAACAAGAGGTTTATTATATTTTTCATCTATTTACACAGATATATTTTCAGTACCTTGCCTCTTGGGTTTTCCATGAGAAATGGCTTACAACGACCGGAACGCTCTCATTTATATCAATCAGCAAGCGAATATCGGGGAGTATTTTCTCTTATATAGTGAATCTTCATGATGAGTTCACATTTGTCATTTAGGTCGCTTCTACGATATCTTTTTATCGTTCGTAATGTATATTTCTTATTTTATACAAAAATAAGAAGTATACATAAGTTTCAATTTCATTATGTATCCATTTCCATTCATAAAAACTTGATATATTCATTTTTAGAGGAGGCCACTTATACATGTGATGTGGTGCACGAGAGTTCATGGGAGGTCTGAGATGTTTAATTGATTTTTGTAAATTTTTAAATCATGGATTCTGCGCTGTAAGTGATCGACAAAGTTTTTTATATTCTGTCAAAATATTGATGATGGTGAAGTTTGCATTCACTGAATGACGGCTGGGATTACAAAACTGTTTGAGTTATTTCTTTAGAGAGGATGTTTCGACGAAAATATGTGATAATATGAACTTTTGGATCCAATATCAACTATTAGCAATTATTTCAAATATGACAATGTTATTTTTTCAATTTTCATTAGCATATAATAACTATTAGATGGTTGTGAATGTTTGAAATTCTATATCATAGCAACACATAGAGTTAACTTCATAACACAATTTTATTAATATTGTTGATACCAAAGACAGTGTTAAAATTGAAATATTATTATTATATTATATTGTAATAGTATTTTATTATTGTAACGACCTCGACACCAAAAGCCAACCGTATACTTATTAAATTCTACTAATTTTAATAATTAAATGTTTACCATATTCTTATTATACTGGTAATGCCGCGAGGCCCGTAAGTCTCCAGTTAGGTGTAGCCTAGTATTAATATGCATTATTTTTCATTTTTTTTATTTTTATTTGTACTAGAGGAGTATACAAAGTGTCACAATACAAACTAAAGAAAATTTTCATTTAATCTAAGTATAAACACAACTATTGTTCAGGTTGGGTTGGATTAATATTTTAATTGCAAAATTAGTTTATTCTTTGAAAAAACAATAGATATTTTATAATATATAATATTATTTGTGATATTAAAATTAAAACGCTATAATTATATTAATAGGTAAAGTATGATGAAGTAAAACATTATACTCGAAAACAAAGTAGATGTAAAACTTTTAATTACATGAGTTCTACAATACATTAATTTGTATGTATTATTATAAATTTGTGTTATAAATTCTTAAAATAATAGTAATATAATTATAATTCAATAAATGTTTATCAAATATCTCATATATTTATGTTTTACTTATTACACTAAACACGACAACACAATTATTTAGACGACCTAAAAATATGATCATATTTAATTAAAAATAATTGTTCACTATTTTATTTCGAAATAGAGAACATAATCATCTAAATAACAAACAGATTCTGTAAAAGGGGTATACTTTTTAACTGAATAAAATTCTCTTTGATTATTTTGATCTATTGTCATATGAACATTTTTTTCGCCCTTAAAAATATTTGTCAAAAAAGAGTAAACATCAGATTGGCACATTTGATCTGTAAAAATACAAACGAGAAGAATTTCAAAATAGTAAACATTTTAAAACTCAAATTAAACATTTTAACATAATAAAGTTTATATTGTATAAAAATACTTTGAAATTAAATTTTCTTAATTCAATAATTTTTTATTTCATTTTTAATTAAATATTATGTTGCTATTTAAAAAAAGAAATTTGACTATGAGTGACTATAGGTGGACTTGATAGTTGATAAGTCAAGAAATATATGAAACTAAATAATACAAAAAAAGATTTTGTTGTCATTTACTTATTGTATTATAAGTCATCTTATTATAAATAACTTAAGCTTCAAAAATTTTCGGAACATTTTCAGAAGTCAAGTTGAAAATATTACCTTTTCATGTTGTAGTAGTAATTTTAAATCTCTTCCAGTAACCAGTTAAAAATTATAAATTTGTGTTAAGTATTTAGTTTTTTACTTTTTAAGCCCTTAAATTAGTATTATAGTAATACTCGTTTATAATATCTCGTACTTACTTATTATAAATGGACGTAATACGTGCGTGGGTGATAGTTTGAACAAGTATTCTACATTAAAAGTCTTTCTAATAAAGAAGAAAGATTCTAAATTATTTTCTAATTCCGTAATATAGTCTTGAACTTGATTCATATTTATCTCCAATTCTTTATAAAAAAAATCAATGTTTTCAGTCGTAATAACATCAGGGGAAATTTTATAGTCAATTTTGTTACCCAACATAAAACTCTCCAGAGATTCAATCAACTCAGAAACCAAATTAATGAAAACGTTTTTATTGTTTACATTGAAATTATCAATACATTCTTTGGTTTTAATTAAAAAACATTTGAAAAATTCAGATGGTAAACTTCCAAAAATTTCTAAATTAATATAGTACTGAAAGTAATAAAGTATTTTAGAGCCAATAATGTTCATATTGTTTACGAATTTACTTTCTGTGGCGTTAGGTTTATCCAAATTATAGATAAAAGTTGAACAACCAAGAATTTTCATGTAATATTGTATGAGTAAAGAAATGGGACGAAATGTTGCAGTCAATACGAGCGTATGGAAGAACTGTATGTCGATTCTATAAAATAAATACTTAACGTACTTGAAAATATCATAAAGTGTAACTTGACTTCCATCAATACAATTTAATGTTAATGGTGTAAATCGCAGAATATCTAATACATTTTTTGGGCGTTCATTTTCTACAATTCCATGTTGTCGAGCTTGAGAACCTAACAGTAAATTTCTTTCAGACATTTGTTGTCTGTTTGTCATTAAGTCATATAATAATATGTTTTTCGGAAGAAAATCCCAATAATCATGCTTAAAATATGACAATCTGAAAAATATAAATATTATACTTTTATTTAAGTTCTCAAAGTGGACATCAGTAATGTTTTGTTCTTTATTATTTTTGAGTAATCTGTTTTTAAGTTTATCAGTAGTATATCTTAAGTTTTCTATATTGTAAACTCCTGAAGTATTGTAATTAGGACACTTAACAAATTCTTTGTCGTATGAATAAGTTTTGCAAATATTCTCTAAAGTTTTTTCTAACTGGGATGTAATTAATTTATGGATTATCATGTAGCCTTGAAGGACATTTGGTTTTAGATCTGAAACATCTATTTCGTTTTCTTTATTTGTAGCAAGCATATCTAAGTATCCCGAAACATTATTAAAGTATAAATTAATTGCCATCAACTCTTTTGAATATTTCCTCGTGTTATAATCATTAATTTTTCGTAATGCATCTAACATTATTAGAACTATTTCACCATGACTTTGAATTGAAACACCGTACATCTTTAAATCTATTTCGTTGTATTTTTTCTTGTTGATATTAATTTCGGTTAAATATCGGTGATTATGATTAAAATAATTTAACATGTACTTGGTAAAATTGCATTGTAAATCATAAAAACATATTCCTAGGGTATAATTGAGTTGTGTTAATATAATAATATATTTAAAAATCATTTTTGAATTTTACTAACTAAAAAATATAATGTATTCGACGAACATTAGTTAAGTAATAATATTGATGAAGTATTCTATAGTTTTATGCACTTATTTTTAGTGTAACTATTTTTAATGAACATTTATTTGCTTAGGTGTAAACATAAGTTCAATTTATTTAAACTACATTAAAATTTTATTCAAATATGATATTATTTAATTAAGGTATTAAAAATAATATTTTGTATATTTAGAAATAGAACAGTTTATCTTATGATATTTTTTGTCTTCAAATATCTAATTATTTTTAAACATAAGAAGTTAGGAGTAGTTGAAGTGGCATAATTTTTTCTTCGACGGTAGTTTTATTTATATTTCTACAATAAATACAAAGTTATTTTATTACATTTTACGTATTTGACAAATATTAAAAAAAAAAATTATTTTATACCAAGTTAGTCGGTAATACTGTAATTATATTTCCACTCGATGGATTTAAATAAAATTTATACAGTTTATAAAACATAAAATACTAGTGCCTGATCGAAGAATTTTCGATTTTATTAATAATTATATTTTTTTATAAACAATAAACTAGCGCTCTTTTTCTGAAAAATACGACAATAAATTATCAGAGCATGATTTTTATTTAAAATAATAAAATATTTTTTGTTTATAAAAATATATAAAACTAACATAAAATTAGAGAACTAAAACTAAAAATGGTCTTTAAAACTTCATACTGTAGAATGTTCAATAGAATTAGTAATTAAGTTCTAAGAATTTTTTATTTCAGTGTCATATCGAGAGGTGCTGATGGGTCTGCAGCCCTCTAATTTTCAGAAACCCAAAATTTATCTTACTAATACTGAAAAAGCTTTTCTAATGCACTCTAAATTATAACTTGATATAGATAAATTAAATATATTTCAATAAACCAAAATATTGTTGTAATGGTTGGTATTGGTTGTATTACCAAAACTACTAAGGAAAGTAAGAATCAGTTGTCCATACAGCAGTTGCCGTGTTCGTCTGACATTCCGAATTGGCTGTGGTGTCGAAAGGCCGTTGTTATTGGAAGGGATTAATGATAAAACTCCTAGATATGAGGTGCAGACCACGTGCAAGACAATAATACTAAGCGTACCTGATAAGAAAGATAACAGTACGAGGTACAGACACGACTAGTCTGGAAATGTAAAGGACAAAAATAGATAAGTATAATAGAGGGCGTCAAAAGGAATGAACAAAGACTTGACTTTATACTGTAATCCGGAGAGCGACAACCGAGTACTGAGGCTGATGAATGACACAAAGCATAAGGCTTTACGTTCTGGAGCCGACTGACGACGATAGCAGCTGGGTCCTTTGGGTTTAAATAGATTTAGGTTGTTTGTTAATTTTGCAATAATTATTTTTAATTGTCAATCCATCAGGCGCTAGTAGAAGATGCGTTGTCTGTGTTTTATTGCAATATATTTTTTTACAATAATGGTAACGTAACATTCAATTTGTAATAAAAAACTAAAAATTATTCATTTGTTCTCGAATATTTTTTATTAAATAATATAGTTTATAAATTATATTGAGTAGATAAATGTAGAATATAAGGAATATTATGGAATTTATATAAATTTATAAATAAAAATTAAGAACTATTTTTACATGTAAATTTAATTTTTAACTTAAAATGAAGTTCAAGTAAAGTTATATCTATAAGCTATAAGTAAATAATCATTTTGGGAATTTTTTTTATTATTTAAGTAGTATTCATTTCGCAATATTTGATAATTCAAATATTTAATAATTAAATATTTTATATATCTATCCCTATATATTGTATACCACTCATTAACTATTAGTTATGGAATCTGAAAAATACTTATATTAATAAACTGTAGTTGTTATATAAATGGATCTGTAATAATCAATAATTAATAATAGCGTTGATGATTCTATTTGCATGTGAATTATGACCAAAATTTCATATTAAAGGCACAAAAAATGTTCATTACACTCTCTCGAATTACACTTTCATTTTCTTAGTTGCTCTCACTCGTGCTGTTTTCCATTGATTCAATTTAATTGGCCACTTAAGAAATATTTAACATCAAAAAATTCAAATCATATGCAAAAAGTTGTCATTTGTACGTAAAAATTTATATTCTACACAAAGAAAAATAACGGCTTATATTTATTTACCAAAAATATCAAAGTTATTATTTAACCATCTTTGACCGTCTAACTCGTGAATGAGGGCCCACCACCCTCTGTAGTATGTTCAGTTTGGGAAATAAAAGGATACAAAACAGATAATTTCATTCGTAATTTTTAAGTTACCATAATGCTCCGCCCGTTTACACCTGTATAAATGTATTCTAAAAAGATTTATCATTTTACCCTTATCCTTTTGGGGTATGGTGATGCATGTAAGTAGATTTATTTTTTGAAATGGTTTGGTTTTATTGGGGAATATTAAATTACCACAATTAACCGAAAGTGGATGTTTATATCTGCGATTATGCTTTGAAACTTCTCCGTCCTAATATAACAGCGAAGACGTCGTTTCTTTAATTCGAGTGCGTAGTTAGTATGTACACATTGTACTAGGCATATAATATAATATTCTTAAATATTTACTGCACATGATAAAATATTTATTTTGGTTAAACTGGGTGTGACGTAATCAAGTTCTATGTTTTAACCTTTATTTAATTATGTCATCATACTAATTTTGTGTATTTATATTTTTTTTAGGTAAGCATTAAAAAGCCAAAATGTACTGTCTATACATATAAAATTGAGAAAAAATAAGACAGCAGGTAATTTTTGTGAAATTTAAATTCATTAAAGAAAAAGAAAAGATTATTTAAAAATTACTTGTAAAACAGGCATAAATTTAATCTGAAATCATAAAAATTGATTCTAATTTAATTGTATTTTTTTTTAAATTCAGAATTAAAAATTGAAGTACAAGTTCAAATTCGTCGTGAGAAAAAAAACATTATAATCCTTATGACTAATTAATAGTATTTACTATGAATCTAATAAATTCAATGTTTCAATTACTAATAAAAAAGTATTATACCTATTCAAACGTCCGCGTGATGGACTTTCGAAAGAAATATCAAATTGCAATTAAATATAGACGTCCATGCTGTGTGTGGTTAATTTAAATTTAGCTAATACAAAATGTTAAAAGCTTTCAACTGCTTTTGAATGTAGTAGATACTTTAAGTGAACTTTGGTCGTTAACCACCCGGATACCAGTTAGTACTAGTTGCCGGTGTATTCGTGGTATCAAAATTATCTCGGGGAAGCGGTTGGGTCGTTTTGTTAAACGCATACATTCAAACCACAGCGCCAACAGTTAGATAACTGATACATTAGCGTAGACAAAGCAAAGAATGAGCATTTGTTTTCCTCTTAGTTTTCACCAATAGTCTAGAAACTTTCGAAGGGCCCCAGCAAGTGGAACGTAAAATTCAATATGGACATCAAAAGGATGTAAACAGATTTTCAACTGATAGTTATTATTAAACGTGAAATACTTAATTATTCAGAGATTTCGCCAAAATATTAACCTTAATTCGTAATATTATCATAGAAGAAGTTTATAATCCGAGTTTAATAGCGCAATAGTGTGATACAACAAATATTAGGGGCACACTTAGTATTATTATTATTTTTAATGTATGAATAGTAAAACTGACATGTAGGTCGACCATTTTAGTTTTACAATGTGTACAACAAAAAAAAAACTATTGCTGTCGAGTGTGATCTAGGCGTTGTTTAATAAAAGAGTTTTCTTTCGTCATCTTTGGACAGTTTCTTTATACCCCTTAACGCTATTGTTTCTCCTTCTTTAATTCTATTTATTGTATTACGTGACGAGTGTCGGTTAGAGGACAATATTCGTATTGACCCAACGCCAGCCGTCCAATGCACACACACACACAAATACACGTTTACACAAGTGTGTATAGATAGAGCGCACGGACACAGGAGTTGTCATTAAATTTGGGGTTGACCCTCTGTTCCCTTCAGGCGTACTTTATGCCCACCATCTCCTAGCCTAACCATTTGTTATTGCCTCAGTGTTTTATTACATTCCTCTGAGCCTTTGGCACGATAGCAAAAAGTCACGCCAACTCTCAAACAGGGTATTTTCTGTGTGCATAATATGTGTATTTGAACAAACAATAGAGTTTTTCATTCGATGTTATATCTTTTCTAATACTTATAGTCGAAATTTTGGAAAATAATGCGTAACGAGTAAAAATTATTCTTACAATAATGGTTAAACTTTCCGCATTTTTGTCATTGTGTACATCAGAACTTGCTCTAATGTGACGTTTTTACAGCATATATTCACTACTCGCACTTAATTCTAAGCTATACAGTAGTGTTAATTTAGTGGGAGACTATTAAAACGTGCACACCAAAAAAAAAAAAAAAAATTTTAATCCCAAATCTCGATTTTATTATTAATTTTTGTTAGTTGTTTTTTTGTTACGATGTCTCACGCAGTATTCCACCTATATCGTGCAATATATTATAGACTGAAGACCTTTAAAAAGTAATATTTATTTTTTTTTCATACCAAAGTATGAGCAATTTAGTACCAATAAAAACTTTGTAGCGTTCTAAAAACGTGACGTTTATTAAATCAAAACTTAATGACATAATGCATACTAAAGTAATAATGAAGAAAAACACCAAAGTCGTTTCATTTCATTCCATCGCTAACTAGAGAATTTAAGAGCAAAAAATAGCTAAATGAATAAAATTAACGTCGTCTAAACCAATACAAGTGCGATATTGTAATGGGAAAACTTGAACTAATTACGAGAGGAACATAAAATACATACCTCTTTCCACTTCGCTGTTGTTATGTAACTGAGGATCTTTTGTCTTGTGTTTTCGACATTAATTCGAGGCGCCAGGAAATTATTACACAAAACTACTATACAAAACCACCGCATCGTCGGAGGGTACGGAAGGGTATAAAAAACTGTCATGGCCAAATGTCGTTATTACGTCAGAACAGAAAAAAGG